ATAGACAGTATAGCTCAGTCTTGTGTAGGAGATCCCTGTTATAGACAGTATAGCTCAGTCTTGTGTAGGAGATCCCTGTTATAGACAGTATAGCTCAGTCTTGTGTAGGAGACCCCTGTGATAGACAGTATAGCCCAGTCCTGTATAGATGACCCCTGTGACAGACAGTATAGCCCAGTCCTGTATAGATGACCCCTGTGACAGACATTATAGCCCAGTCCTGTTTAGAAGACCCCTGTGATAGACAGTATAGCCCAGTCCTGTATAGGAGACCCCTGTGACAGACATTATAGCCCAGTCCTGTTTGGTAAAATCCCCCAGGAGGGTAGTGCTAGCTGACATCACAGACACATTTTGTAAATCAAGGGTGGCGTAGCAGTAGTACACTTGTTACCTCTAGAGTCTCGTGTTAGATTCACAGGTCTCCTTTGTTTCAATGGGTTTTCTCTGGTTACTTTGTTTTTCCTACTTTCTCATAAACCTAACCAGCTAAATTCCAATTCGTTCTGTGAATTAGATTAGCTCAGTGGCTTGTCTTGGGGTATCAATAACATTTCGAGAAATAAAAATTGACATTTGTGAATGTGCAAAAAGCACTAATTTAAATTTTCGACAGTTAAGCAAGTAATCCCTTTTTTATTTTCTGTTTACCATTTACTTCCTTAAGGGTCTTAAATTCGTTCTTGACATCAGAATCCCATAAGTTTTGAAAGTTACGGAAGAAATTTAGGTTTTACATTGATATACGAAAGGACCATTTCTAGAAGCACGGTGAGAATAATAACACTGGCAACCATAGCCGCAGGTACTGCAGTCACGAAAAATCAGCCATCGAGGAGTTGGTTTTGAATACCTCACTGCACAGGTTAGGCTATTGCAGTATCCACACTAGAAAGTAGAAATATCAATTTTAGTAAAACTGCTTTTTTAGGGTATTTGAAAGAGGTCTGATTTCTTATCTCAATAAATTTTGCCCATGAAGCCGATATATCCCCAGCTTGGGTAGGGGTGTGCCGCCAGGACCTCGAAACCCTGACCCTATCCCAGATCTAAAATTTTGATTTTACATACCCTACCCCAAACTAAAACTAAGAATTGAACATCCTATCCAGACTAAACCCGGTTACTCAATAGATTGCAATCAATATTTACTAACGTTTTTATTGTTTTTGTGCTGTCAGAAAGCGAAGTCTATTCGCCAGACAACAACGACCAAATTGTTAACCCTATCCCAGACAACAATGACCAAATTGTTAACCCTATCCCAGACAAAAATGACACGCTATCCCAGAAAAAACGTCAAAAAATGATACCCTACCCCAGACCCAAAAGCCGAAAAACCATACCCTATAGGGCGGCACATACCCGTATAGCAAATATAGGTGAGTAATCCCCCCCCCCCCCTGGGGGATATATCCTATTAGTATGTACTCAAGTCGCTTTTCTTTTATTTGCCACGGGAACTAATTCACATTAACTACGTCAACCGGGTATGTTAAAGCCGGGGAGGGTATTGATAGGGACCAGAAAGGTAACGATGATTGACGGCGACGGCAAGCATACGATAGTACTAACTAAAGAATGATGTATGCCTGGTTACGGGGGATTCTGACATTACTGGAATGCTAAGTCGTGTTCTGACCAATCACATGCGAAAATGAGTTCATTTCTAAATAGCTAATCACAAGGCTGTAAACCCCCACAGCGGTCCGAAACTCCTGGAAGACTTCGTTTTTAAATTCCTGCAGAGATGCTTGAAGAACTTAGAGCATTATGTAGTTGGTTTATGATAGGGGGAATGCTTCGAGTATTAAGATGCACAATTAATGACATACACTTATTTCAATAAAGTTAGTCACCATAAACCTAGAAAGCTGGGATCGCTGAGCATCATGGGAAATGTTTCATATCAAAAAAGCTTATACACACAAAGCTTTTTAAATACAAACTGCAGCTCGATGATGCTCAGAAGAGGTGAGACTAACCGGTAAAGTATTCGCAAGTCCATGAACAGTTATGAAGCGGTTGAACGGTTTTATCTATAATCCTGGTCGGCCTCAGCTTTATATCTTTTCAGGTGACTAACTTCATTGAAATAAGTGTATAAAAGTGTATCAGACTATGGCTATTAGCCAAGATGAAATGAACTAATTCATTCTCTCTTCAGGGCCGTAGCCACCGGTACGGTTGGTCCGGTTTCAACCGATATATAAGAAAAATATAATTTTTAAAACTGAAAATTACTATAATGGATATATATAAAGATAGTAAAGGATTAAGGTAAGCGGAAGTCGGGGTGACTGGCGGGATGTCAGGGACACTAAAACGCACTCTACAAACTGCGGACTTGGAAAATACAGACTGGAAGAAAAGTAACCCACCTCCTGCTTTTCATAGCCAGCCTCCCCTTTACTTTGTGACCAGTCCCTTAATAAAACCGGCTTATCTCGTGTTCTGCTTGGTAAAATGAGGAGGCTGTGTTTCGACAGAAGCTTATGAAGCTCATTCTTCACTCGCTTATATTTTTGTCATTCTGGCGAACCATTTCATCGCATTTCTGAAATTTAGTCTCGGTATCCGGCACGAGATGGTTGACTTACATCAGTTTTTTATGTGTCTGTCCTCTTTTTGACGATAAATTGCGTCATCACGTTGTCAAAGTAGTGTGGATCCACGAGGCGTAGCCGAGGTGTAGTAGTATTTTACAAAAACAAAAGCGATAAAAACTTCTCATTTTTAGCGATCAAAACAACCAACGGAAAGAGCGCGCGCTCGTTGACATCAGCTTTGTCTATCCGTACGCTTACACAATAGAGACGTCGATCAGGTAATAAAAATCAGTATAGAAGAAACAGTTGTTGATCAATAATGGATGTCGTGTGACTGACCCGTACGTGACTACCTATACTCGTCTATAAGAAAAAAGTGCTATAACGAAATTCCAAGTGAACTATTAGGGCATGAGAAATGCTAACTTCTCTTGCGACCTCTTTCCTCCCCCAAACTTATGTCTGACACGGACTGAAGACGTGGCGGCTAGATCATATCTGACACGGAATATCTGACACTTCCTTCACTTTGGTCATTTTCTGGTCTGCGTTTGTACCTGTTTGCTGCCTAAAAGCAGCAAAGAAGACAGGGACGAATGAAAACAGCGAGCGGAAACCGATTGCGATGAAGCGATAAAAAAGCAAAGAGTACAGTGAAGACAGCGAAGAAATCATTCGATAATAAAGAAATTAAGTTTAAGTGAAGAAGAAGATGATGAAGGTGACGAGTGTTGTTCAAAACAAGATCAGATTAAACCATTTTCCATCGAAACGAAGTATAAAATTCAGAGGAAAAACTAGGTCCTAGGTTTGATCCTAAAACAGTAACTTACAAAGCAGTTCATCAAATCTAATCAAATAGTGATGTTCGTTAAAAAACGTACGCGTTGCAAATCATGTTGCCTTAAATTGAATATGTCGTTTCTTCGCATTGTTGTATGTTGGAACGGATGAATAGCGAAGAACGACTTGGGACATCCTTATATCATGACTAACAACTACTGTTATGGATAAAATCAGTCTTTGACAAACTAGCCGAGCATTAATGATGGAAATGATAAAGATACATAAAATGATGTTTGAAATACTAACTTCGCCGCAGTTAATGATAAATAGTATAGACACTTACTGATGTTTTAATCGAATTTGATCATGTTTGAAATCAAAATTTCGCCGTGCATGGCATTTTGGTATGCTCTTGCAGCAGTACTAGTACCGACTTTTATTACTTACAGTCTTTGCAGGTGTTCTTCTTCTTCTCCATGCACTTACATGTTGCGTTTCCAAAGCCATTTGAACGGCGATTAGTATGAGAACAAGCTTACAGTTCAAGTTCAACATATTGCTTCTTTAGTTCTTGATTGTCTTCTGAGAAGAAAATTGTATATCATACATGATCATATATATATATATATATATATATAGCTTTTATTCTTGTGTTATAGCATATTTTTACCTGAAAAGTCTAGTACAGAATATATTCTAGCATAGAATATGCGCATGTCACTAGCCTACAAACCTCACTGTGCGATGCATTGATGTACAAGCTTCTATGTGGTGTTTAATGAACTGGCAGGTTTAAATGCACGAGATATAGCCAAATGGTTTAGATCTGATAAAAAACGATCTGTGAGTTTATTGAACTGCTTCAAAAATTCAGGATGATTCACAAACCTTTGGTCGAAATAAAGTGAATTTATACACTTTGCGAACATGGAATTTTATACTTAGATAGACGTTTGTACTTTAATGCCATGTGCAGTGAGGTTCGTACGTCAGTGACAAGCCGCAGTGATTCAAAAAAAGGCTCCCACTAAAGACAGTATGCGAAATTCAAGACAGTGGTGCTAGTCGACTAAGTTCTTTTGTGACGTTGCAGGTGATCGTACATGAGACTGAGCTTCATGAAGACTCTAAACTTGAATGTACTTTTATCTCTGTGGTACTATTTAGTAATCTTTACTAAGGAATAAAAGATTTATTAAGCAATTCTTTAATAGATAGATAGAAAACCTTTATTTACACAGGGTTATCCAGTCAGATATGCAAAATGCAATCTGATATCAAAAGGAGCCCTAAAATAAATACATTATAAAGAAATATATATATATATACATATATATATATATAACGATATATGAAAGTACAATAAAAATCTAACAATAAAATTATCTATATAAATACTAGAATAAATATCGAAAATATATGCAATGAATAAAGGTTCATGCACGTGACGCGTATGGTCGTTCCAAGAGGATCAAAGAGTTATAAATTTATTCATGAGTTTTTGAACGAAGTATGAAAATCTAAAAGATCATAAAATTATTTCTGAGGCTGCTCAAAAAAACTCGCAGTTCGTTCCGCATGTATCAGGTCTAAAACTTAAGCTCTTAAACCCGATAAAGCACTCCTACTCGTTTAAGTACTTTGAACCGGGTTCGAAGTAGAACAAACCGCGTATGGAAAATTACACCTATCACAAGAAATGAGATAAACAACTTTTAAAATTATCCGATTGCTTCAAGAAGTTTGTAATAGATCACATTTCTTGTTACATTTAAAGCAACCACCATTAGCTTTACTTTGTATATTCCTTAGAAAAACAGTAGACCAACGATAAACTTCCAGATATATATATATATATATCATATATTATGACGACTGAAAACTAGACACTCTAGTAGTCCAGTAAACGATAACCACAACTTGTGGTGAAGTTCCAGACCACTACATTAGATAGTATTATCTTAACAATGCAGATAAAACCTAACAAGGCATTTAAATCAAGTCTAAACACCCTTCTTTTCAGTTGACTCATGATATTCTGAGTAGTAAATACAGTACTTACCTCAACGTATAGAGAGTTCAGCTCAGCGGCGGTGAAATAATGTATCCGTATTTTCAAAGATCGCCGTGTTCTTTAAATTTGCCTTGAATTTGACATAGCTGTTCGATGGAGTGGCTTAGTTCAACTTGTTATTTATGAACAGTTGTTGTTTCTCAAAGAGCTAGGGAATTGATTTTTGATTGACTTGTTGCGTTAAACGAGACCCTATCGTTGCATGGCAACGTGATCGACCTGAAAAGAAGGTAAAAATGCTATCTCCTTCAATAATAATTGAAAAAATCATAATTTTGCTTTTACTTCTTCGTACTTATTCTTTGTCTCAGTTTTATTTAGATATTTTTTTCTTTTTTTTAGTTTTCCATTAACTTTTCAACAAACGGATATTATTTATTATTCTGAATCAGTTTTGGTCAGTGTGAAGTAAGTAACTCAGTATTTATCAGGTATCAGTTTTAAAAAATCTTTGCTTATATTTTATTGCTTTTGAAATTGTACATGTTAATGACAACTGAAATTATTTAACGATATTTCAAAATGGGAAAAGAGCAATCAAATGTTACATGGCAGAAGATGAATGGGGTCCATCAGTCATTAACATATGTGAAATGGTTGACATTTCCCTTCTTTCAAACGTAAAAGGAATAAACGTGCATCCGTTTTATTGAATTTACGTTAAGAAAATAGCCAACTTATGTAAACTAAGCTCGTAACAAATGAGGAAGACATTTAATTGGTTGAAAAGATTTAACAACAAAAATAATGAACGAAAAGTTGTGCTTAATTTTGCCAATATGAATAAACATTTTTTTTACCGAAGGAAGATCCGCCCACAATAACTTACGGCGGCAGCGGGGGCGTACATTTGCTTGCCTTATAAACGATATCAAAGGAATACAATATGTTGACAATCGCTTTTTTCAGTTTTATTTATATTTTCATATCTTTCCTATGAATCTCTTATAAATGAGACATAAATAATGTTGTTGCGAAAATATTTCCACTACCCTACGAAACTAGACTACCGTGGGAAAAACTCAAAGCGAGTATTGCTTTAAAAATGATATTTTTCTTTTTCACGTTCGATTGTAAAAAGTCGACCAATGTTCATCATCATCGCCTTGCAGTTCCTATTTGATACTAATGTGGGTTTAGAAAAATTAAACAGCTAGTGTCAAGAGACTACGATCATATGCCCCTGTGACGAACTCGTGATAGTCAGATTTTGCGTCGAATTACTTGCACTGTGTGTTCCTTGTGCCATTCCTGTAAGTGATGATAGAGTATATTTACCTTCAAAGAGAAGTAGTTCGATCGCTTTAAATGTTCAATCTAACTGGTAAAATGAGATATAGACGTTAAATATTCTTTCAAATCCTACTTTGTTTAGTTCTTTGTTATTTTCTTAAGTTTTGCCAAGCGAATCTGTAATAAATTTATTGTCTGAACTTAAAGTGTTCGAAGGACGACTTTGAATTCGGTGGAGCCAACTGAGCCAAGTATTGGAGATGGTCCTGGCTGAAGGGGTAAAATAGGAGCTGGGATTCGCCTTTTTTGCGCCGGGACTGAGATTTAATGCGCTGGGAATGGGATTCACAAATAAAGAAAAAAAGAAAAAAAAGAAAAAAAATATCAAAAAATGAGATTGGGAATTGAGTGAAACATAGTTTGGAATTATGGGATTTAGTTAAAATAGGGCCTTTTAACCCTAACCCTGAATGAAATGAGTGCATGTTGGGAATTGACGTAGTGTGATAAAAAGGTGAAGACGTTATCGTCCAAGAGAACAAGACATCCGGAGGGCCTGGTTCACGACGCCCGAGAGGACGAAGGTAGGCCCAGGGGAGAAATGCCAAGTGTTCTCAAGGAGGAATGTGTTATGTTAAGTGAAAAACAAAAATTAACCTCAGAAGATCGTAACAACAAAGCTACTCCAGAAATTTTGAAATTTTGATATATTTTAGTACCTTTCCTGGGTATTGTCCGCCTTGGCACGTTGTTCGCCTAAAATCCAGTGGAGCTAATTATCGTTGCGTTCTAGCACGGATTTTTACTTAGAGGCGTTCAGTCATAATCCAACAGATGGTAGTTTTTCAGCCAAGTGCAAGTCGCCAATTGTCTGAATCTGCGGTTCCGCCCGTACTGAGCAGAATTACTATTGCAACAAAACTTCATCAGTAAGGTAAAACTAACCTGCCTCACGACGCTCTAAACCCAGCTCACGTTTCCTATTAGTGGTTGAACACTCCAATACTTGGCGAATTCTGCTTCGCAATGATACGAAGAGCCGACTTTGTAGGAACGAACAGCAGCGTCGCTATGAACCTTTCCTGAAACCTCTTACTTAAAACTCCTAAAGAATAAATGCTTGATATTCCATGCTATTACAGTTTGTATTCATACCGAAAATCAAAATCAAGTGAGCTTTAACCCTTTTGTTCTACATGACATTTCTGTTCTCATCGAGTTCACCTTAGGACACCTGGCGTTACCATTGTCCCAAATGTCCCGCCCTCGCCAATCTCCCAACCTGACAGTGTCTTCGACTCGGATTAGTCTGCAAAAGAGAGACCTTAAATCCAGAACGTGAGCCTTGCGGTTCGTCTCCACTTCATCCACTAAGTAAAATTGATCCTCCTTAAAGGATTTAAGTTGTGTTCATTCCAATTACAAGACTTAGAAAAGCCACGTCTTGTTATTTCTTGTCAGGCCTCATCTCAATACATTACTATCAACAGTTAAAATCACACGTAGTCTTTGGCTGTATGAAACCAAAATCCAGACTTGCCCTCCAATGAATCCTCCTTAAAGGTTNNNNATCACACGTAGTCTTTGGCTGTATGAAACCAAAATCCAGACTTGCCCTCCAATGAATCCTCCTTAAAGGTTCGCAGTTGCCCTCATTCCAATTACAAGCCTTAGTATCAAGCCATTTATTTATATTTCTTGTCAGGCTCGCTCTCAATACATTACTATCGACAGTTAAGATCACACGTAGTCTTTGGCTGTATGAAATCAAAATCCAGACTTGCTCTCCAATGGATCCTCGAACGTCCCCCCGAACGAACCACTGGCATGCACGCGATCCAAGAGGTTTATACTATCACAAGATCATGGCTTCGTTCTCCCGCGAGGCATAAGCTGTAAGGCTGTGCCTATCCATGCCAGAGATTCACACTTACTTTTCCATTTTCGATGTCAATGCTACCACTTCTCCGACACTTTTGCTTACGGATCTCAACAATGCAACTGCTAAATATCCCAAGAAACTAACTCATGTACTCGGCTTCAATACGAGTTATAATGCGGCTCTGCCATTTTCCTCGACGCCTTTTCAAGCACCGTTTCCCCCCACATTAATACTCCTAAACATTCCAATACTTTGAAGTTATAAGGCAATTTTTTTGTAATTATCTTTATTTATGGTTTGCTGGGAAAATTATGCAATTTTTTTTCCCACAGCGGGAATCGAACTCGGCCCACGGCGGCGAGAGCGCCGAATACTAACCACTAGGCCATGTGGGAATACGATAAATGTACGTTTACGATTGTGGTATGTTACCTTCGCATTTCCGTCGTTAGGTTGTCATTACCTTTATTTCGAATCATCATCTTTTATTCCTTTTAGGTTTGACTCTGCCAAAATAGTAGTAGTAATAGTAATAATAATAATAATAATAATAATAATAATAATAATAATAATTCAAAGTACTTGGACCGACACAATGCTGCTCTGAAGATATTATTTATTGAGAAGTGCAAAGATCTTAAATTAGTGGAAAGTGTTCCCCCTTGGTACTCACCTGTGACTCCCAAACCTATCTATGAGTCGGATGATGCTAAAGCTTTCTGGGATGTAACGGTGTATGCTGAACACACCTACGTCAAAGCCAATAGGGTGGATGTACGATTCGTGACCACAAGGCAAAGCAAGTCTGGGCAGTAGAAATGAGCTGTCCATGGATTGAGAATCGTGAAAAGAAAGTTGAGGAGAAGGCAATCAAGTACGGTGCACTACTCTTGGAGTTAAAACAACAGCACCCTGGTTACAAGGTACAGCAATGCAATATCATAATTGATGCATTGGGAGGATGGTCAAAGAAGCTAGAGCAAACTTTGAAGAAGCTTGTTGGTGCCCGATCAAAGTGTGTTTTGGAGAAGATGCAGAAAGCCATCATCTCTTACTCGCTCCATATAGCACGAACATTTAAAGTAACTGTTATATAAGCTTGAACTTTTTTTTTAACAATCTTAGGATACTGTTACAGAAGTAGTATGTGGGGACTATGGATAGACGACTCATTATATTCATAGATTCAAGAAATGCAATAACTATGGAAACGAGAGCAAAGGGGAAAGGAGGGGAGGGGAGGGGGTGCAAAGGCGCGCTAGCTCAAGCCCAATCTTGAATGAACGAAAAAAAAGTGCGCGCGCAAACCAAAAGATGAGGTGACGTCACTACATGCGCGCGCAAGTAAAAAACAAAAAACAAAAAAACAAATTTTTGAAAAAAACCTTTATTTTGGAAAATGATTACAAGAAATAATTACTGTTTAAAGATGGTCATAACTTATACATTTTCAAGAGCTTTTTTAACACCATATCCAGCACCGGCGGCTATAGCACCTCCAGCGGCAGCTTTGGCAGCAGCAATAGCAGCAGGAATGAGAAACAGGGGTAAGAATCCTCCTCTTTGACCACGTCTTCGTCGTCTCAGTTGCCGAGGAACAATGGATGGCATGAGAGAGGATGGCAAAATGCCTCCTTTCTGTTTTCGACGCCTTGTTCTTCGTCTCTTTCTTCTCATCGTCATGTTATCGCTTTGGTTTTGCCTCTATCATTAAACATGCAAGTTGCAAATTTTTTTTATAGATTCCACTCGGGTGCTTGCTTTAACTGTTTAAGCTCTTGAACAAAAAGAGTCCCCATTTCCACCACCTTTACATTTTCATATCCAAGAGTTTGATCGTATTGAGGTTCATTGTTTTAAAGAGCATAATTTCTACAAGACGAGCATTATGACTGTGTTCTGGTGGAAAAGAGAGTAAGATGGTTCGACGTCCTTCGCCAATATTTCGTAGACAAAACGCAAAAGCGTTTTTGTTCAAGGGGTCAGGTATACCAAGATCGTCCTGAAGGTGATAATGTTGGATGAGATTGTTTAACGTAGAATGAAATGCCCTGGCTCTTCTTCGACTTTGATAAACC